AGACAATCTTGAAGGTCTGCAGACACTTGTCTTCAGGGTGGCAGAAGTAAGTAGCAGGTTTTTGCTTGATTTGAACATCAAAAAACCAAATACATGGTTATAAGCAAAATAGGATACCACCTGGTCAATTTCTAGTTAACCAACAACCTATAACACAAATCAACAACTTTTGTTATCTGGGTGCAAATTAAATGAACAGTGGAACCAATCGACGGAAATTAAGATAAGGATCGAGAAGGCAAGACCAGCTTTCGTCAAAATGAAAAAAATCTTTAACAGCCACGATATAAAATTGGAAATAAAAGTTCGTTTACTAAAATGCTACGTATTATCCGTTCTTTTATATGGCGTGGAGTCATGGACCTTAACTGAAGCATCACTGAAGAGACTCGAAGCATTTGAGATGTGGTGCTATATACGCATGTGGAGGGTTTACTGGATAGACAGAGTTACCAACGAAGAAGTACTACATAGAATGGGTAAAGAACACGAATTAGTCGTAACCATAAAACGCCGCAAACTGGAATACCTGGGCCATATATTGCGCAATGAACAACGATATGACCTAGTTGGGACCATACTTCAGAGTAAAGAACTTAACCACTACCAGACTTTTCAGGGCAGCAGTCAGCAAAGTCAGAATAGTCATGTTAGTGTCCAACATCCGTAATGGATAGGCACTATAAGAAGAAGATACGTAAACTAAAATAATTCGATCAAAATCAGAATTTGATATCACATTGAAAAGCAAATCTTCTTTGTAAATCTGTATCCTTTCTCGGATTATGGATAAACTGGCACTGTGTAGAATTTTTTCTAACCTGCTTGAATATGCTGGACGTTACTTCAAACCCTTTGGTGTTAAGTTATTATCTCTTAAAATTTGATGAAACTTTGACAATGTGCAGTTTTTCGTAAATAATTTTCAATCTCCTAAAATTTTGAATAACGCTAGGCCCATACCGGTTTCTTAATATTGTTCTGAAGCTATTCTCTTGTCGCATCTTAATGCAATTACTTTTTTTATAGGGAATAAGCTACAATATTTTTATTTAATATATACCTGCAAAATATTTGTTATAACCAGATTACTTATTACCTAGAATTTATTGTGGTTCTAATCAGTGAGTTTAGATATTAACATGAGTGAAGATATTTATTGAATCCCTCATAGCCTGTACTTGGATATTTGACCATTTGGAGAAACTGATGCCTTACCTTAGCGATACTCCCAAACTGGTTGCAAATTAATGGTACCTTAATAACTTTGTCATAGTAGTATTTGTGATTGGAATGAGTTTTGCTGTATATTGACAGCAAAAATGGTGAGACATGTTTTAATTATAAATCAAGTAATGTTTAATTTGCACGCTTATTTTACTGCTGAAAAAGCCAATGGAGGCTTTTTATCACCAGTTTAATCCGCATATAAACGTGTGTGTGATGCATTGTGTATTAGTGAGGCAAAACTAAGTTAGTTTTGAAAAACACAAAAAGTGTTATTAGTAAAGAAAGGACGCACAATATAAACCTAGATCACACCTTAAAGATCTTCCTGAAGGTTGTAAATTTAAAATTCGAGATACTATATATTAATGTGTAAAAAGAAAGAACGTGTTTCTGTAGAGACGGTAAAGAAGAGTTAAATTACCCTCTGCAGAGGGGTAAAGAAATTTAACCCTTCAGTAGTCGCTAGGAATTTTTGAAAATTAGTAGTCACGCGCGGTCGAAACGACCGTTTGGTTTTTTACTTCTTAGTTTGTGTTAATAAAAGTATTTGGAACCAGTTTTAAGTAAAACACGATTTTATTAAGGTTTAATAAGTAAAGTAACATATTACAAAATAATATAAAAAGTAAAATAATGTTAAAAACACTGGACAGAACATTAAAAAAACTATTTTCTACTCCGATAAAAAAAGGAAACTTTTAGTTAATCCGAATAAGTTCAGTTTGGCACTCTTCGCATACTGCACTTGTATGTTCTCTGCATAAAAACTTTTTACATTTACAGCAGGAAACAGTCGTTTTCCGGTTCTTTTTACGGTCGCAAAAGTAGCATCTACCATGTACTCCTTCATTCGTTGGAGTGCCGTCTATGTTAGGAATATTACATATGGCCTTAATACGTAACTTCAGATTTCTATTTAAATTGTCTACTGCTGCTCGGACCCGTAGATGATCATCTATAAGAGAAAATGCTAAATGCTTCAAAAATTTTCTTCTAAGCATTTTATTATCAGCAAGGTTGTTACTTGCATGAATCACTAGCGAATTAATGCCTGCGATATTTAGTATGGTGTTAAAAAGTACCATGGGCCAACGCCTTGTTTTTCGCGAAACATCATAAGAGGATCATAGCTGATCAACGACGTCAAGCCCGCCTTTTGTTTTGTTATAAAACGTCAAAATTTCTGGTTTATAATGTTCAAATGTTTCTCTATCTATAGCGTCGTCATCATGTAGACTTGAGTAAGAGTAGACATGTAAGCAACTATATTATATTAGTAGCTTCTATTTATGTATTCACGTAGGTGTATAATATTTTTGAGCATATTCTTCTTGATGTCACGAATATTGGTGATAATCATGGCAATATTTACCTTATCTGCAGGATGTTCTTCTTCCTGGACCCCGTTTTCCAAATATTTTTCCTTGCAGGATGACTTGTAGAAGGGCGCATCTTGTAGAAGGGCGCACTCATTTCGCACAATGTTTTCGAAATATTGTAACTTTCGAGATTTGATAGTGGTCCACGGGATTTGAAGTGTTCTCCGATTTAGCCACAGCTCGAATGCTTCCAATTTTCTGCATATATCTTCGTCAAGGTCAACTATTCAACACCAAAAAAAAAAAGAACAGGGAAGACGTAGCATCGCAGCATCCTTACTTTTATACCAAGAGAGAGGTTATGGCTCTTGAAGAAGGCCCCCATCTGGTTGAAGGTGGATCTAGATTTTCCGATGTGCGCTCTTATTTCTTGGTTGTTGTTCCATTCTTTATTTATTACGGTGCCATTTATTTAAATAAATAAATAAATGAGTATATACCTGCATACTAATTTATCTCGTTCATTTTAGGAAGGCGTACCAGTCAAAATGTTCTAAAGGAAGCTGCTGGACCAACCCCTCATGCTAAGAGAAGCATTATTAGAGATTCTGCAGCTAGCGCATGGCGGCTGTTGATTGATGAATGCATACTCCGTAACATAAAATCATATACTGTTGGTGAAGGTAGAAGAAAACTCAAAGATGAAAATTTGCAAATTTCTATTGAAGAAATCGAAGCATTTATATCCTTACTGTATGCTAGGAGAGCTTATATGGCACGAAATGTTAGCATAGAGATGGTGTGGTCTGGTAAATGGGGTCCAAAATTTTTTCAAGAGACCGCGTCTAGAAACAAATTTACACAAATAATGAGTTTTATCCGTTTTGATATGAGAAATACCAGGTGTGAGTGATTATCAACAGATAAATTTGCACTTGCGTCGGGAATATGGAACCCATTTATAGATAATTGTATATTACGTTATACATCTGGCGAAAATATAACTATCAACGAACAGCTTTTTCCTACGAAGGCAAGATGCCGCTTTACCCAGTACATGGCGAATAAACCCGATAAGTTTGGAATTAAATTCTGGCTTGCAGCTGATATCGAGTCCAAATATTTGCTGAACGGATTTCCTTACCTAGGGAAAGATGAACAACGACCAGCCAATCAACTTCTGGGGGAATATGTTGTTAGCCGTCTAATGGAACCATTTATAAATAAAGGAAGAAATGTCACGACGGATAATTTCTTTACGTCCATAAAGTTGGCAAAAGAATTACGAAAGGAGGATTGTTGGAACAATCAACCGAACAAGAAAGGATATTCCACCGTCAGTAAAAAATGAAAAGATGGAATTGTACGAAACAAAAATTTTCAAACACGAAGACTTGACGCTAATGGCGTACCAGGGAAAAGTCAACAAAAAGTTCAGTGATGTTCAGTGATGTTCAGTGATGAGTTCTTTACACTCGAATGATATTAAAATGGGTACAGATAAAAAGAAAAAACCGGAAACCATCATCTTCTACAACCAGACAAAATACAGAGTAGACGTTGTAGATCAGATGGCTAGACTGTATTCAACCAAATCTGCTTCAAGAAGATGGCCGTTGCAAGTTTTTTTTTAATAGTTTAGATATGTCAGGAATAAATGCTTGGGTTCTGTGTAAGAAAGTTACGGGAAGTCAAATATCTAGGCAGGATTTCCTACTTCAGTTAGCAGAAGAATTGCGAGAAGATCACATGACTAAGGGCAGGACAACATCAACGGATACAAATCCAACAGGTACAAAAAAACCACCAAATAATAAACGTAAGCAGTGTCAAACAGGGAATTGCAACAAAAATAAAACATTTGAAATTTGTCATATATGTAAAAAATTTGTGTGTGGGTCATGTACAAGCAAAATTGAAAAATTTTGCTACTGCATAAATTGTACTGAAATAATTAAATAATTTATTTAAATATATTAAATATGTCTTTTATTATTACTTATTAACTCAATATAGGTTTTTATCAAATAAAAAAGAATACAAAAACGGCTGGCAATAGAAAATTCTAATATCCGTCATTTTGACCGCCGGTGGTGCTTCTAGGTATGCACAAATGCTGGTGCTTCTAGTGTTAAGTCAAACCTTTTATCCCTAATCCAAAATAGTCATAAATTCGTGGAATATAATATAGATTATTTTACCTTTTTTCGTTTAATTGTTTTTGACATTTAAAATATAAATGCGGACATGTAAATAGTAAAGAGGGTCGAAAATGTTTGTTTTTGTCATAAATCTATTATCCTACATAACCAATTTATGTAAAATCTGCTTACTATTAAGCGTTATATTTTGTTAGCGCCGTCATCATCTTCAAGAACAAATTATTGCGTAACAAAAAAGTGGTAATAGCAGAAAATCGCAATACCAAATAGTGAAAGCGAAAAACCATATCTGCGGCTTGCGCCGGTACATAACGCTATTAACTAAAATAGTCACTAGCACACCCCTCTGATAGAAACATGCTTTTTTATATATTATATATTTCGTGTGTAGTGATTTGTTGTGGGTCTGTTAATGCATTTTTGGATAAACAACGTAAGTGACTATAATAAATAAATTAGGAATAAAACATAATTAAATTTATATTTTTGTTAAAAAACGCAATGTTTTCCAATAGGTGTCCACATTTTTAACAGGTCCAATATTAAATATTTAAACATGGCAATATGCTACAATTTTAATCAAAAAAACTAAATGTTGTAACAATAAAACACTGAAAACTTTGATTTTAAATTTTTACAAAATTTATTTTAAACTATTATCACTACAGCTGTTTCGGCTGATTGCCTTTCTTAAGTGCCTTTCTCAGCCGAAACAGCTGTAGTGATAAGAGTTTAAAATAAATTTTGTGAAAGTTTGAAAACAAAGTTTTCAGTGTTTTATTGTTACATAAAAATTTCCATCAAGTAACGGTCAAATCCATCATTTACTAAATGTTGTATTTATGAGATTAAACCACAATATTGATTGTAATGAAAATTACATTTTACTATTTTTTGACGTTTCGATATTTCTAATCCGGAAATCGTTTTCAAAAAATATTATAAATTGAGAAATTATATTAACCTGTAGATCAGAGGTGTCAAACTCAAAAGCTAACTTAGGTCAAATAAACAATGTGGTCAACTTAGGTGGGCCGCAAAAAAATCAATGTTTATATAAACAAATATATTTTTTTTGGTAACTAATTTTGAATATATTTTAATAAACATTTATTAAGGTAAATTATTATTGTCTGCGATTATATCTACGATCTGCGATACTCTGCGACAATCTTTCTTATTTTGGGAGAAATTTCATTGGTCGAAACTAGTTTAGAAATTTGCCCAATATGAACGTTATTAATACAATTTCGTACAGGAAATTTATTTCCATTCATAACAGAAAATAATTACTAGCGCTGATAAGTATTTTCAAACAGGTAAATAATAAAATAATTTCATATACGAATTTTCGAGTAATGACCTCACTCCCAGGCTTCAATTTTTTCATTTTTTTTTACATACTATTTGTTTAAAAAAAAGCTTATCGCAATTTTAGTCCACTATCCCCTCTCCCTACCCCAAAAACGTATATTTTTTCTTTGAATTTGTGTTAGGCAGAATACAATCAATTTAAATATTTCAAAAAATTCACAGGTATAGTTTAGGGTTTTACAAAACTTGTATATTTTTTATAAAACCGTAGGTTGATTGTACATAACCAAAAAATGTATTTTTTTCCAAAAAAAATGCAAATAATTTTTTTTTGAGGTAACAGCAGGTCCAATTCTTTTATTTTGTGTATTTGATAAAAAACTGTATCTCAGATTTTTCAAATTTTTTCGTATGGTATGCCAAATTTTTTTAGAAGTTTGTGGGTTTTCTCCATTTTAAAGACTTCAAAATAGATTAAATCAAGTTTTTTTTACAGCCTATATATATATATATATATATATATATATATATATATATATATATATATATATATATATATATGTATATATGTATTAAACTAAATAAGGTCTTTATGATATTTAAAAATTATGAGAAACTCCTTTAAACACACCAAAAAACAATGTTTTTGAGGATTTGAAATCAACAAAACCTAAATCCATTTGCTCATATTTTTACTTTTTATGTAATTAAATAATAGGGCTTATCGTTATTTGTATATTTTTATATACCCGTAGGTTGAGTGTACATAACCTAGAAATGCATTTTTTTGAAAATGCGTATAACTTTTTTTGGAGGTAGTTCTAGGTCTATTTTTTTATTTTGTGTATTTGATTATAACTATACATGTATTTGAATTTTCCAATGAATTTGTGTGCCATCTTCAAAAATCCGAAAAACTGTTTTTTGGACTTTTTAGAGATTTTCTTCATGTAATAGACTTCATTTTTTTATTTTAAAAATGGTGTACCATGAAAAAAAATCTGAAAAAATCAGAGATTTAGTTTTTGTATCAAAGTTTCAAATACACAAAATAAAAAACATAGATCTACACTACAGCCACCTGCAAAAAAATTGTAAGCTTTTTTCGAAAAAAAATGCATTTTTAGGTTATGCACACTCAACCGATGGGTCTATAAAAAATATACAAGTTTTTAAAAGCCTCAAATATGCGTATAATTTTTTTTTTATTTTTAAATTGATTGCATGTACCCCCAAAAAAAAATCCATAAAAATGGTGATGGGTTAAAATTGCACTGCGCCTTATTTTTTAATCATAGTACATGAAAAAATTGAATTCTGCAAATGAGTATTTTGACTATATTGTCGGGGTGTACCCTTTAAGTCGCACTTATTTTGATAAACTTAACTGCTTACTTCAATCACCAGCAAGAAGCGCTACTACCTGACTTGACAATGGCAAGTGCGACCTTGTCGATACGTCGTCAAAATAATGATTTTCATCAAAATCCAAATTATTCAACGCGGAGCCAAACCCGGAGAACCACATAAAAGCATATATATATATATATATATATATATATATATATATATATATATATATATATATATTGCTTTTGACGTTCATATCGGCCTACCATTTATTCTTTCTTTTAGGATAGATTGTTTTTTGGGATTGAAAATACAGTGGGGCACATTTTTTTGTGAGGAATTTTTCTTTCCTGTTCGTTTTTGCTGTCTTGGGTGTCTTTAACATATTTCAGACCTCTATTAACAACCTCATCCATAATCTACCAGGACTGAGCAATGGTGAACCTTATGTTATTTTTTAGCTCCTTTTGTGAAAACGTGTATGATAAAAGAACCAAGAAATATTTTTATAAACTGTTCAACTCATGCCGTTCAAGAATTATTCAATGAAATACCCAAAGGATTGCCAGAAATAGGTTTGCAAGTTTTAGATCCGTTACAACTTCCTGTTTTAAATGTAAGTATTATTTTTTCATATATAAGTACATAGAAAAATATAAACGTTTAATCATAATTTGAAATATTGAAATATTTATTTAATAAAGATATTACAAACGTTGAATATTTCGTATTTTGGAACCGAGGAAAATAAAAAAAATCCTATGCAACAGATGTCATTATGATTCAATTGTATTATAACCAAATTCGAAATACCACACAACACTTTAATATGGTGCATAATATCTACTGCACTAAGATTAGTCCTGGGATCCAACAGAACCAGCCTTGTTGAAACTTTATATATCGGCGCCAATTTCCGTCCAGTCTCCATTGGAATATTCTATGTATCTTTATATTATGAAACTAATCTTTTAGCTAATCCAAGTAATTCTGTACATCCCATGGACGCATAAACATAGATGGACACAGCAATAAGATACCTTTAACACACAATGTTTTGAAGCTTCGATAGAATGTGATGCTTCCGCAATGAGCATAAGCGTGCTTGAATTATTACTCGCGGGTAATTATTCAGATTTTAAAAATTGGAAGTAGTAATAATGTATAAAAACACGTTCAAAAGAATTTAAAAAAACGAGAGTTTAACTATTAACAAATCACGTCTTTATAGAAAATTAAAATACAATTTTATTTGCTTTAAAATTAATACAATAAAATATAGTTGAATTCAAGTTAATTTTTAATAGGTATCAAAATAATGCTACAATAAAAAATCTTTATGTTTTCTCCTAAATTTGCTACCAAAATAGTTCGATCGTCAATATTATTTGGAAACCTACATAGAAAAATAAATGAGTTTTTATTCATTTCACTAATTTATTTGCATCCATGAGAAATATCAAACTAAAAAGGTACTAAATAGATCTTTTTTAATCAGATGATGTCTACTTACAATTTAAAAATGTCTACTAATTTCATGAACTTATATCTTATTTAATACATTAATGAACATGAATAAACCCAATGGTACGCCTATTAAAATGTAAACAAACACGCTTCCTCATTTCCTCATCTCAAATAATGTAAATTTTATGTACTTACAAATGAAATGAGAGATCGGGATGTAAATACTTTGTTTATTTTATTTCACTTTTCACAAATATCACTCAAAATACAGCCAAAATATCGAAAAACAACTTTTACTAAAAAGTAAACAAACATGAAACAGCATTTGAAGTTTGACGTAGATCCATAAGACAGAGAAATGTAAACAACCGTTGCCATTTATAAATAGTTTTTAGTGCTTCTACATATAAAATAATTGATTGATATCTAAATTATACGTTATTATTAAATGATAATGCACACTATGTGCACACTTTATATTTTGATTACAATTTAATATATTAATCTAACCAATAAATTATTATTTTGGTTTGATAGCACCTGTAGAGTATAAAATATGGAGTAATATTTTCAGCGACTCGCGAATAAGAAATTTTAAAACAAAACGTGACAACAGCTGAAGGTGCTGAGAATGTGACCTATTCAAATAATTTTGACTTCACAATTTTATGTAAATAACTGAGTCCATCTGTGTTTATACGTCCATGGTACATCCCTATCCCTTTTCCACACGTTTTCACACTGAGTTTAATCATAATCACAACCTACACTACCTTTAAAAATTATTTCGCTGCTTCAAGTTTCCTAGAGACATAATTAATAGCATTGACTACTCATCCTCTTGGACAATTATTACCATATTGTAATATAGATGTGGTCAATCATTCCAAAAACCCAGAAAATTTCATTAGTTAACTATTAATTACAAAATCAATCCATAGAAGACAACATCCAAATAAAAGCAAATATGCTTAAAAACAGCAAAGATGCGTGTATGGGTATAGATATATTGCAGAATGGATTTGGTAATCAGGCGGCTATCAAATTAAAAAATCTGATGCCAAAAACTCAACAAAGACAAGACAGAGCATGGTTAGAAAAGTTATATAGCAGAAAAAAACCAATAAACTTCGACAATTTAATCCAGAAGTACATATGAATTGAGCAATATCAGGTAATATTACAGCTATTCAGAATAGGACAGAGTAGAATAGAACTTATTTTAAGTGACCAATTTTACGCCCTTCGTTTTCAATAGAGTAATGCCATTTACTATATATTTTAATGGCGGTGAGGTGCTACTACTTTTCAACAAACTTAAACAACGATTCCACCAATAAGAACTAAAATAAATAATAATTTTAACTGACCAATTAACGGAACAAATTGATCTTGTTTGACCTTGACCTTGGACTATATTTGCTTTATTTGTTTCACTACATGCAGTTTTAAGTTTTAAGATCCCTTAACCTGAACTAGTGACAGAATGTAACATGAATGAAAACATGTAGCTTCTCCATTTTTAAAAATTTTAAAGTGTTTGTTTGTCTTTGTGTATTGTATTGTTATGTCCAAATTTACATGTATGACATTCTGCTCATGTCGGATAGGCCACAACTGACGAAATGCCCCTGAGGATGATCTATTGATCGAAAGTACTTGGGCAAGATTTAATTAATTACTGTGTTCGATATTTGCCTTGTATACCATCAAAGTTCAATTATTCGAACATTCTACCTTATATTGAAAAATTATTTACGTAAAAAAATGCGGTGGTGGCATAACTGCACCTGACCCTGACGGTTAACAAAAGTGACGGTTAATAGAGAGACGGATAATCGAAATTCTACTGTATCGCTATTTCTACACTTATCTACAATATGTTGGAATCCACAGAATAAAATATAGATTGATATTTTCTGAGGGCTTAGAAGTCAATGTTACTGTTCTGCAATTAATGAAGTTTACAGCCAAATTTTTTTAAATATATTGATGGAAATTGGTTCTCTGATATCTTTTGGTTTAATTCCAGTTACAGGAGTCGTTGACATAAGGAATATAGGGGATAGAGGTACTGAACCTTCCATTTCGTTAAGAATAACTGGAAAAATTTGAACAAATTATCTGATTGTACTTCAACTTAATTACTGTTTCCAGTTATTTTTGTACCATTGCTGTGTTTTATCATCTATAAGTTTCTGTATACTTTTTTTGTCGTCTATATTGTCTATAAGTTCTAATTAATCCATATTTAGCATTTGGCAGTATTTGGTATATTTTGTCCTTTCGTCATTATAACAAATAGTTTTATTTCTTTCAGTGAGTATGAGTATAGTACTCTTCCAATAAACGAAACAGTAAGTGAATGATAATAATATGCAGTAATATAATTATAGTCTACTAACTATTGCAGAATACGTTTTTCGTTTAATAATTTTTGTATTTTTCTTAGTTATTGTTGTCACGCTATTTTATCGGGTAATGACAGTATTCGAATTCATCAGGCATATAATTTAATTTATACTATGTGTCGCAAAAATGCATTAAGCTTGACATGATTTGTTAAACCTGCATAATCATAAAATTGCATCTGTTAAAGTTAACCATACAAATATGTAATTATAGTTGAGAAAACGTATACAAGGGTTGATTATATATTTTAGCCAACCAATGTGTTGCCAATTTAAATTGCCGTTAATTACCTAATTATTTTGTTTATTTATTGTATTATAAATATTTAGTACTTTAATAAAATAATAAAAAGTAAAAAAATATAACAACGAAATATCTAAACAAAATTGTTGAAAACTTTTGTAATTTTTTTAAAAGAAGCAATATACTTCTATACTTATTCTACTATAGTAGATAGAAGACATTATTTGTAATAATATTTGTTCAAATAAAGATGAAAAGGTGAATATTAAATATAACAATAAGTGCCAAACAAGAAAAAAAAGTCTACGGAAATAAAAAATAGTTGAGTGGGGAAAATAGCGGAAATTGAAATGTAAAATATAATACCGTACTGCTAGAACACACGAATGGGAGAAGAGTAAATTGGTATAAATTGGACTTCAAAAGAGTCGTGGTCGCTTGATGTCCAGAAGGCTTTTGATTAAATATGACACGATGGACTGATCAGGAAGTTGATTGATATCAGGCCACCATTACAATTTATAAAAATTGTAAGATTGAATCTGAGTGACAGAACAGTTAGAGTAAATATACGTGATAATACCTTTCTAACCTTTACTTCACAAGATAGAGTTCCACAAGGTTCTATTCTAGCTCCGCTTTTTTACATCATATACAACAGTGATCTAACTACCCAATCCTTTCCTGGCACTCAACAATAATAAAACGGTACAATCCTGTGAGAACATTCCAAATGGGACAATCTCTATTATGCATCTTTGAACGATAGTGTAATTATTGGAGAGCTAGACAATTGTTCCCAAGAAAAGTGAACGAACCATAAACGATTATCGTCTGATATCGAACGTTAACGCAAATAAAAAGTCTCGTACATTCCTATAAAGATTGGTTAAGGCTACAATGCGTAATGTGGTTTGCAAAGTCGAAATACAGGGCGAACAATCACAGGCGTTTGGAACGCATGTTGGGATGCGACAGGGAGACGCGCTGGCGTGTCTCCTTTTCAACATAGCACTGGAAAAGGCGATCAGAGATGCCCGAATAGACAACAGAGGAAATATTTTTAATAAATCATCCCAAATTTTGGCATATGCAGATGATGTGGACCTAGTTGCCCGCACAACACGCAAGCTAGAAGAAATGTATACCACCTTCTCAAATGCCTCAAAATCTATGGGCAAGTAAATGAGGAGAAAACTAAGATGATGGCATCAACACCCAACAATAGAGTCAGGAACATCGATCCCCAATTCACGGTTGATAACTCTACCTTTGAAGTGGTGGACAAATTCACATACTTAGGCTCCCTGATCACCAAAGAGAACGCCATAACGGAAGAAATCAAGCGAAGGATAATAATGGCAAACAGATGCTATTTTGGACTGAGTAGATATATGAGAAGTAGAAACTTAAGCCAAAAAACAAAAATAACTATATACAAAACCCTTATACAGCCAGTGTTTACATATGGATCGGAGACATGGCCCATTTCCAAGGCAAACGAAGACCTTCTGCTTATATTCGAACGAAGGATCCTGAGAGGAATATTTGTTGGCATCAATGAAAATGGTGTTTGGAGGAGTAGATACAACTACGAGGTATACCACAGATATAAACAAAATATTTGGCGGTAAAGACGTAGTATCTCTTATAAGAATAGGAAGACTAAGATGGGCAGGACATCTAGCAAGATCACAGCAGAACAACCCTCCTAGAAGAATCCTTATGTCACAACCCGTGGGAAGTAGAAAAAGGGGTAGGCCAACACTCAGATGGAAGGATAGTGACTGGCAACGGTTGGCAATGGATAGGACTGCCTGGCGTAATAGACTTGGGAAGGTCGAGGTTCTTTCATAGGGCTGTAGCACCATTGATGATGATGACATACCTATAAAGGCTACATGTGACCCGTTATAAAGTAAAAATATAACATCTACAGTATCTTAAATGACTCTGAGAAACAAACACTTATTAGTACCGAAAGCCGTATTCTGCGTAGAGTAAACTACAAAATCTAAAGCTTTCCATTCCGGTCAAATCCATAATATCTAAAGATTCCCAAAATAAGAGGGAGAATAAACTCTGCAAACAGTAATTTCACCCTCTAAGTCATTAATGGGCAACACTCCACAGCCCAATATATCCATAAAACTTTCTGTGCAGTCTACGGAAAACTGCAAGTCTATAAACACAAAATTAAAAAACTTTATCCACCTTCAATCCTACTACAAACCAAATCCCATTGTAACCATCCTGTTGGCATACCTCACCCTTACCACCTAATTCCCACTTCCTAACCCTGAACAGAGTGAGATTGGTTCGTGCGGTTTCTCCATCTCATTGATGGGGATCTCTCAACGATACCTGTTATCCCCGAGAAAATAGCATAACTACTTCTTCAGAAACACTACTAAAAAATCAACTGCTAAAAAAAGTTTTTGTGATGTATGTTTTAGCTCAAATTAGTACGCTTTTGCATCTGCTGAACCGTCAGTTCCGCTCTCCTCCAAATTAGTGAGTCATCTCCACACTTAACTACAAGTCCTGAAAGCGATTTAAAAAATTCTAAACAGGGTCTAAATCATGGTCTGTTTTAATCCCATATTTAAATAAAGATCCTTTTCTTAAATTCTATAGAACAATAGAACGAACGAATGGTGGTCGCCCATCCCCTGAGATGTGTATGACCGAGTGGATGCTAAAGACATCTGAACTTTGGGTACCAGGTTTCGTTACCCTTGATGATGGTCAGCAAGTGTCAAAAAAGATTCAGCCTGTGGTCATGAATACAGCGAGGAAAATGTTTAAGTATCTGTTGAAGCAAGACGTTATCGACAAAAGGCTCAAAAATAGGCGCTGAATTCTATTGAAAGTTAATGAGAGATTGCTTACGAGACTGCTGATAGTCTTAATAAAGAAAGGGATATTATTTATTATACCTTGTTATTACAAAGCTTTAAAAAACTATACAGATATCATAATATAACCTGGGCGCAAAGTGGACACAATAAAATACAGATTCGTCAAAAATACAGATAAAGCGACTGAACACATTATCTGCAACTACAAGGATGATCTATGTTGTGTATATAAATGGTCAATGATATTGACTATAAGCAGATAAAATTATTTTTTTTATCTTTAAATCAGAAACTACATAAGAAATTCTTGGAATAGTATTTTCACCACCAGGAAAAAAATCCAGTACCTTCTTCTCGATTAAATATACAGGCAAGATATAATAAAAATAGCCAAACATATAAAAAAGAAAGAAATAAATATATTAAGAACTACAAGAGCCTAAAGAAAAAGCACTTCCACCAATACAAACTTATCTGTGGAGTGTGGCGACTCCTAAAACCTTACATCGTGAAGCTGGTAAACTTTTAACAAACGTATAGCAAAACATAAAAGGGCTTTCAATGATAGAAAAAGAAATTCTACGTACGCACTTCATTTTCTGGTGTCTGTAATTATTCTTTTTACGGAAATTAACAAATTAAAAACTGCAGACAGACTCTGAATGACCATCTTGAGACAAACAGTTCTCCCCTCCTCTTAACTTATTCAGCTAAATAGTATAAAGTGTAAACGCATACCAAAAATAGATCACTTGAGAAAGGCACTCTACCGAAACAGCTGTAGTGATAAATAATGAGAATAAATTTTGTAGAAGTTTTGGAAACAAAAGTTTTCAGTCTTTTATTGTTATATAAAATGAATTTTCATCAAGTAAGGGTCGAATCAATCACGTAAATGAAGTTCTTATAGTTAAACATTAGCAGGTATTCACCTGTTATGTATCAACAAAATAAGTAAATAAAAGTTTACAATACTTAAGCAGCATACACAAATGTATTTGGTAACAAATGAATTATATTTTTCGTTTTAGATCCTCCAAGGTGGCGGAGGAGCTGTAACCGTTAATGCTTCTCTTGATAACGTCACAGTAGTAGGATTTGGAAAAACAAAAATTCTTTACAATAGTGTAGATCCCAAAACATACGATTTTTATACAAAACTATCACTACCTAGGTTGAGAATTGATGGTAACTATGAACTTTTGGGCAAAATTCTGGTTATACCTTTACGAGGAAAAGGAGCCTTGTGGTTTGATGCAAGTAAGTAATTTTTATGTGCAGTAGTGGCATAAAAGAGAAAATAAATATATCAAACTCAGGTAAGTATTTTCCATTGGCTTTTTAGTTAAGTAATTTAATTATTTAAAACTTTCCGACAATAAAAATATCCCAAACAACAGTATTTGTGATGTTGGTAATAAGAAGAATTGAGCAGTTAGGAATGCTGCAAAATGTATTAAAAAATTTTTAAGATCGTATAGTTTTTTGTATTGAAATGAAGAGACATCAATTTTGAGCATCTGATATACCCATTCTTACTTTCTCTTCTTCTCCTTCTTCTTCTTCTTCTTCTTATTTTAAGACAGTTTCTTATTTTTTTTTTAAAGCTGTAGCCTGAGTTGAGATTCCAACTCCAATGAGATTCCAATTTTAACTTTTATACCAGCATTTGGGAGGTCTTTCTTTGCAATCGTTGCAAGTCTTTTATTACTCATTCTATTAATGTGGTCTTCGCATGCCCTATTTCTTATTTTAGGCCAGTTTACACCGTATTGGATGCTCTGATATCACTGCTGCTCACTCTATCTCTTTTGCCACTAATTGATCTGGGGGTCTTAATTTCTGCCATTATTAGTAGTTGCTTAATAGTGGTGAACAATCACCTACCTTGTATTAGTCGTTTGTATTTGGTGACAAATCACCTACCTTGTATTTTCTGTAGCGTATGTCACAACAGGTTTTATAAATTCATGTTTTGCTTTTGATGCTTATATATTTGTTTCTACATATTACACTTGGAGAATTGTTGATATCCTTGCTACTGTTATCGCTTGTGTTTGCAGTTCTTGATTTAGATTTATATTGCTTGTAATATTAGCACCTATATATTTGAAGGACCTTTACTTGACGTTTTTTAAGTAACGTATTTGTTTACCACTTAAATAAGGATATTCTTTTAATACGACTTAAATAACTAAAGATTTGCCTTCAATCTGTCATGATTCGGATAAACCTTTTACGGCACCAGTCTCGATAAATATTTTTACTGATGTACTGACAGTAGACCGTGTTATGGGACTTTTGTTAGGATGTATATTGTTAAAGATTATTAAAATTAAATGAGTTTATTCAATCACAGTGATCTTAATATATTATTATAACTTTGGCGGATATAATATAAATTTACGGATTGCCAAATATTAAGTTTAATTATTATTTGTCTATTATGTTCAAATATTTGTCTAGTACTTGTTAGATCTAGATCTTGCTATGGGCTTTTGGTTATGATATAAATCAATAGATATTGTTACACGTTTTTTGTTGACTCCTACGCAAACCACAATATCGTAATATCATTAAAATATCAATTTGTTCTTTTTCAGATAAAGGATCCATTGTGACTTTTAATAAACACGAAAAGTTGTTATTGTTGCATTCATAGCCATCTTACTTATTAAGTAATATTTTAACTTGGGCGTTTATAATATAAATTTATTTAAAAAATGTTAAGTAATTTTTAAAGATTTCAAAAAATGTATATAGGTACAGCGTTATCTATTTGAGATATCAAAGATAATTATATTTCCAGAAAAACGGAAAATCTAACAACAATGTAAACACTAATAGTTTAGTACTGAGGAAGGAATGTTTTTCCAAAATTTAAGTCTTAGAATGTTGATTTTCGTATTAACTGGTACTCCATTGAACTTTGTTTTTTTATTTTTAGTCCTGACAATGTTATTTGAAATTACTATTATAAGTTATTAGAAAATACTACCGAAGTAATATTTTTTTTTATTTTATGGTTTTCAGTCTTTTAATGAAAAAACACTGTTTCGACCATACGGCGAAGGTATGGCTTCGGTTTTGAGTACTCCAATTTAAAGGTTAAAGAAATATCATAATTATTCTAGCTTTACAACCTCGTGTGGGTCCTAGCCTCTAAAAAATTTTCTCCAGTCGTCCCTATTTAAGTATTTATTTCCATATTTCTTATGTCTTCATCGATATTATCAAGGAACCTTTATCTGGATCTTCTCCTTCTTCCTCTGACCAATGACCACTATGAAGGAGTGTTTTTCTAGTTGGATCAGTTTGTTCCATCCATAACATTACATGTCCTACTCACCTCAGATGTCACATCTTAATGTATTTTACGATATCTCGCTCATAGATAAAAAAGCTAAAAGCTCGGTTTGTACAAAAGGATATTATTAAAAGTTTGTGAAAAGTCTAAAAAATACTCTAACGCAAGTTACAGCTGAATGGAATCATGAAACTGGATTAAATCTGCCAATAAGCTGTTGCAAGTGGAAATATAATTCTGGATTGAAATTTTATAAGGTTGAATTATAGTTAATTACTATTTAAATGAGAATCAGTCACAATTAAAGGTTAAAGTACGTTTATTGGCGTTTCAATTTCCACTTCGGAAATCGTTCTCAAAATACAAACATTAGTGAAAAAATAGTACTCGTAGTTTAAAAAAAATTCTAATGGGTAAAGAAAAAGCCGGTGTTAACAGCAAAAGATAAGCAAGTCAGGCTCACTTAGATAAAAATTTAACTTTCTTGGATGGTAGAAAATTGGTCTTGACTAATTTTTAGTAAAGAATCAAAATTTGATGTATATGATAATTACCGCAAAATAGTTATTCGCACTAAGCACTAAGGTTTTTCACAAAGACTGTTTGAAATGAACGGTAAAATTTCGTAAATAAGTGATGATTTTCAGTTGGATGGCAGTTTCAGGATAAGGATTTTTTAATTAAATAAAAGAACCGCAAATGTTGCAAAATATCAACAAATACCTTAAAATAGCTTACTATTATCTGTGATACGGCCAGAACCACAAACAACTGGTTTGGAAACCACAATATAAATCTCCTTTCTTGTCCTTCTAATAGTCCTGACCTAAATGTCATTGAAACCGTATAGCATAAAATAAAACAGACTAACAGACTAACGAATATCCCACAACGACCATTACATGAACTTAGACAAAATAGAGCAGATTTGCAATACATTTACCTCTAAACAGTACAGATCCTTAAGAGTAAATTCACATAAAAGGAGCAAAAACTAATTGAAACAGCCATAAAAGTTTAAAGACCGACGGGCGAACTTTCGACACCAAATTGTCTTTATACCTGGGGTAATCGAAGGGTCCAATTTTATTATTTCGACACCGCGGCGTAAAGCAGGTAGGTAGGTAATTAGAGGCGATGGACATTTGCACCCAAGCAGGACAAGCGGGTTTTCGCAATATTTATTGTCACGGCGGGGGGCGTGGTACTTGTGTACTTGTGACTAAATTATTTCAGTTGTAATTTATTTCTTGTTTGACGTTGACTTGTGCACGTATACGGATATTTAAAAAATGAGTTTGATAAAAAGTTCCCGTGGTCGAGATTTATTAGTGGTGGAGCATCATTCGTTCTCGAAACAGAAAGTGTTAAAAAGCGGCGAGATATTTTGGCGTTGCATCCAAAGAAACACTAAGTGTTCCGCAAAAGTGTTTACAATAGGCTGTGAGGACCTCACCATCACAAGAAGTGATTTGGTACATAATCATGAAGCCGATCCAAAAAAAGCTTGAAGTAAAGATGGTAACCAATGCATGTAAAAGAAAAGCCCAAGAGGACATATCGGAAAAGATTGCCAAAATTACAAGAACTGCTGTTGCTGAGTGTGACGCCAATTTGCTGACGGTTCCTGATATAGCTAGCATAAGAAAGAACATTTACAACTGTCGTCGTAAACTGTTACCAGGTCCGTTACCAAGAAGCATATCAGAAGTCCATAACGCGGTTAGTAATTATTCTCCTAAAACCTGTCGCAATGAAAGTTTTTTGTTTTTATATCATCCTGAATTAAATGTAATTGTATTTTCATGCGAGACAAATATTCGTTTGTTGTGTAAATTAAAAACTTTTTATATGGATGGTACATTTTCATACAGTACCAAATATTTTCTACAATTATATACTATACATGGCTTGGAAAATGGACATTATGTTCCTTTAGCATACTGTTTGTTAAAGGACAAATTGTCAATGACATATCAATTATCATTAGAGCCAACTGAAATATTTGTGGACTTTGAAAAAGCAATCCACTGTGCTTTATTGTATATGTGGCCAAATGCAAAAATTAGTGGATGCCGTTTTCACTTACACCAAAACTGGTTTAAAAAAAATTCAATCTTTGGGTTTGGTACAAGAATATAAGGATACAATTTCAGAAATTGGAAAATGGTTAAGGCATACGTTTGGCTTAACTTATTTAGCATTCTTCAACTTCCAGCAGAAGTTGAAGAATGCTTTCTTTATGATTTAATGTCATATAAACCTATAAACGCAACACTTGATATATTATGCAGATTATTTACTGGAAAATTACATTTTCGATAGTGCTCGATTTCCACCACACATATGGTCTAATCAGAATTCATCTATTGCGAGGACCACAAATGCCTGTGAATCCTTTCATTAGAGATTTAATTCTTCTTTTTATTCAACACATCCTTCTATTTTTATTTTTATTGAAAAGTTAAAAGAATTTCAAGTAGACACTTATGTCAAAATAAATAGTTTACATATATCAGCAAAAATCAAAGATACTACTGTTAAGGCTAAATTGGCATTTTTGGAGAAAATGTTGGATAAACTACGATCCCAACAAATACGTATGTTAGATTTTATAAAAGCTGTATCTTATCATTCCTATAATAGCAAATAAATCATTGTATACAAGTATATTAACGGTAAGATGTACAAAAATTTTATAGTTGTATTAAATTTAGATATTATTACAGTTATAAAGAAATAAAATGCACATTACTTTTATTAAAATAAATAAATAAATTAATTATGGTATTTTATTTATGTCGCAGCTATATTTATTTGGTGTCGAATATACCTGTAAGATAAAAACGGGAATTGGGGCTGGTGTCGAAAATTGCCATTAAATTTTAGTCGCTACCTGCTTAGTGTCGAAATTTCCTACGCCCCTAAACACCTGTGTTACAATATTTAGTACCCAACAAAATAAAAAAATCTTTATTATTATTTAGTCCTGTTGGAGTAAGTATATTTTGTTTTGTGTTGCTAATTCAATCTAAATTTCTTCATTTCAATACAAAAATTATGATTTTTTTATTTTTCCCACAGTGTAAAAGTGAATGACAATAAGAATCAACCTTGCAAATAATTTGAAAACTGTAAAACTTACAAAAATTTCCACATACGTGTACATCAAATCACAAAAACAAAAATCACAAAAAGCTTATTTTTAAAATTATATTTTTTTTTTAGAAAATTTGGAAATCAACGTTAGGAGTGATGTAGTTATGCAGAAACACGACGGTTTTGACTTTTTCCACGTAACCAAAGTCCACGTCAAATTTAGCATTGGCGGTTTGAAATTACATATGGGTAACCTGTTCGACGGAATTAAAGCCTTAGGTAAACAGTTTGCTAAATTACTGTGTTAAAAACAAACGTTTAAATTTAGATCGCGCTTTTCAGAAAATTCCTGCAAGGTCAGAGTAATCTGATTTTCTCGAGAATTATAACGAGATAGTTAAAGCTAGGTTCCTCATTAATTATTAATTAAATAAAATTTTAAAATTCCAAAATTTTAATTAAGTTCGTGACTCTATCCACCTTAGGGTGGATAAAGTCACGAATGTTGAGGTGTTGAGAAGAATGGGAATAGATAAAGAGGTTTTAAATACAATTAAAGTCAGAAAACTGCAATATCTGGGACATGTCATGAGGGGCGAGCGTTATAACTTGTTGCAATTAATAATACAAGGAAGAATACAGGGTAGGAGTCGCGGAGTCAAAAGACGCATCTTCTGGTTAAACAATTTGAGAGCTTGATGTAACCCTTAGATGAGAGTAGATGGCACATGAAGAAGAAAGAAAAAGCAACATCGCAGCTAGGAATTTAATGACATTAATAAAAAGATAATACAAAAAACAAATATTATCAGGTTCTGAAAATTTTTCTTGCGGCATGTGTAATTTAAATAATATGTTTATATGGAATTAAACAATAATTGATTGTAATGATAATTATTACATTTTTAACAGCAAAAATTTGACGTTTCGATTTCAACAACGGAAATTGTTATCAAAAAAGATTATTTAAAATTTTATTGAAAAGAAAGAATAACCGCCATAGTTGTTTGCGGGGTTATGTTATTTCACAAAATTGAAAAATTAAAAATTGACACATTTGGCCACGGTGTTATTGGCGATGTCAAACGAAAGAGGCGGCACATTGAGGTAAAAATTTGAAGTAGTGCACGTAGGATAACAAAACATTTTGTATTTAGTTATACACATATAACATAGTTATAAACATTTTAAATATTATTAAATAAAGCTCAATAAGGTAACAAAATGTTAAAAAGTAAATGTAAACAGTATTGTTCTGCACGGCAATGCAGTAATTATCGATCGGAAAGAATACCTATGCACTTTTTTCTTCGTGACAAAAATCTACAAGATCGTTGGGCACAGGAATTAAAAATTGGGAAATCAATATCAAGTGATATAATCGTGTGTTCACAACATTTTTTATCAACAGATTTTTTTTTCAAGTAAATTTGCTGAACAGAATTGCAACATTTATTATATATAATGTGCCTACCTAACCTAATCAAATATGTACACTGCTAACATAGATCTTAATTAAAATTTCTATTACAACTGCAGCAGGGCAAAAAAAAATTTCAAAGAAAGGTGTTATTCCCTCTCAATGTCTTCTTAAAGGAAAACACGAAAGAAAAATCAATGAGGAACTGGTGAATGCTAGAATAATGCGTAATAAAACACACGCACATTCCTCCCTGGCGGGCTTTACAAGTGCATTTTACCACCCACTCGTCTGTTAACAAATCCACAGCGATTTCATGTGGTGCGCCATTTAAATTAGTCGTTTGCAGACACAAACCGACTAATTTGTTATTATACTTGCCACACAACACAACGTGGCCAACCTTTAACAAGGTCTCTCCTTCTTTTAAAGGTCTTTTTGTGTCTCCTATATATTTCAAAATATGGAGCAGACTAACTTCAATTTCTTTATTTGCCATTGCATTAACAAAAAAATAAATGAAAGATAATAAATATGGATAATTTTTAGACACAACAACCATTCACAAAGATTATGGTAGCTTTGTTTTGTTTTCCTACATGCGTGATCAGCTGATCATCTGTTAAAGCGCCCCCTATAGTTTGTTGACATCGCCAATAGGCAACAGCCATGTCTTTATATGTCCAATAACAAGAACCTTGTCCAATAACAAGAACATATCAACAATAGCGGATTAAGAAGAAACTCTAAGACACTCTTTTTCAGTCTTACACAATACATATGCAGTACACAATACCATGTATACAATACACCAATACTCTCTTACACACAAACGTTTACAGCCCATGCAAATAATGCAAAACACTTAGAATAATCAAAATCTTAAGTTCCATACATCAAGCATCCACCCTGATATCATTTCAGCCAAAGCATGGCTGAAATGATATCAGGGTGGTCTATAACACCGTGGCCAAATGTGTCATTTTTTATTTCTTCAATTTTGTGAAATGCTAACTCCGTAAACAACTTTCAGGAATGGAAATCGAAACATCAAATTTTTGTAGTATTTAAGAATTTAATTATGATTACAATCAATTGCGGCTTAATTCCGTATAAACACAATATTTAAATATTAATACATATATTGAGATTGTAGTAGCGGACGATGTTCGATATTTGACATATAATTATTATTAGTAATACAGCCCAAGTTGAGCTTTCACCTTTCTAAGCTTACTCCTTTATTTGGCCGAATTCATTGTCAGATTTCTTGATGTCAGATGGCAAAATCTGACATCACATGAAAACAGCTATGACCTTGAACATTTCACATAAACTTGTGTACTAAATAGGCATAATGCATAGCTCTTGTCAAAATCCAATACATTAATAATATAATTACATATCTTCGATTCTAAAATATTGTAAAAGACTTTAAGGAGTAAGGAGTAAGAAAAGAGATATTTAGTTATATTCTTTGTGGCATTTTCAAGGTCATAGCTGTTCCCAAAATCCATTACCTATACTACCAACCTCCAGGCCTCTCAAAAATGTGAATTTAATAAAGGTATTACGAGTAAGAATACAGAATAATAAAATTTGTCACACACTTTGTTTAGCATATATTTACTACAAATACATTTAAAAGGCACTACTAGAAAAAAGAATCGAAACAAAAGTCAATGGTGCGAGCCTCTTCTTCTTCTTCTTCCTCAGCATTTCCCTTTTCAGGGCTCGCTGTTCATTACTCTTCGTCGCCACTCAATTTTGTCCATTGGTTCTTATTCACCTAAACCTTTCTCTCTCAAGTCTTCTGCCACTTCTCCTCGGTTTTCCTCTACCTCTTCTTCCAACAACTTCTAACAGCTCTATCCTTCGTCCCACATACTTTTCATCTCTACGATCGACATGACCAAACCACTGCAGTATTTGTTCTTGAATCTTTCTTTGAGACTGTAGTCACCCCGACTCTTTCCTTAATCAAGTCGTTTCTCTTTCACTACACTCTTGTACATCTTTCCTTTTAGACATTCTCCGATTTTTCGATCACAAAGAACTTCGCTCATTCGCATCCAGTTAAACTAGCCAGCCTGTGTCCTGTAGGCAATTTCTCGATCTAGCGTGCTATTTTCTTTTATGTAGAAGCCAAGGTATTTAAATTCTCCTACTCGTCCTAGTTTTTATCCAAACAACTCTACGTCCCCAACAACCAACATATACTCCGTTTTCGACCAGCTAACCTTAAGTGCTCTCAATTCAATAGCCCTTTTCCAATACTCCAACTTCTCCTCCAACATTTCTTGGTCTCCTTCAACTGGTCTCTTCCACTAACACGATATCATCAGCAAAGAGCATTCGTCAATAAGCCCTCTTTCTTACTTTCTCTGACAGTACATCCATAACTGTCCGTATGCAGATTTTCCGTCTTCTCTTTAAAGGTGTAAAAAAAGTACATCCATAACAATATTATACAGGTAAGGACTCAGTGAAGAGCCTGATGCAAACCAACCGTCCCTGGAAAACTTTAGGTCAATCCGACAGCAGTCCTTACTTTGGTGTACGCTCCTTCGTAAATATCCTTCGCGAGCCTTACGTACTTCTCAGAAACCAATTGTTCCCTCATACATATCCATAGCTCTTGTCTAGAAACTGTGTTGTACATATCAAATGTAGCCCTCTTTTCTTTTTGCTGTATTTCTCTATCAACTGTGTCAATGTAAGCAAGGCATACGTTGTTCTCCTTCTTGGCATAAACCCAAACTGTTTTTCTCCTACCGATGTCGCTCTCCTTAACTGGTGTTCCACAGTTCTCTCCAAAATTCACTATTCTAACGAATACCATAATATTTTTAATAAACTATTTTCACCTCCGTGTTGTAGTGCCAATCACTCCCAAAGGAAAAGCACATATTGCCATAGAGTAGATTTTGATCTTTGAGCTATTTTTTAACTACTGTCGAAACTTTAAGCAAATTTTGCAGCGCTATTTCGTGTATTGGGCATAATATCGTTTCTATTCATCGTTTGTAATTTAAATTCGCACATATTGTTGATTGAATCTTGTGTTTAGCTTCAAATTTCGTCTTGTACACACATATATATTTTTTAGAGGAATCAACAAACGCATATTTGAACGCCAACTGGAAGCCAGTAGCAGAATCACTTAACCCAATTTTGTCTAAAACAATTGAAGATATTATGTTGGATATTCTACAGAAAGTTTTTGACAACATACCAGCAAACTTCTTTTTAGGCGATCTTGAACTCTAAGAATGTTTTTTAAGTATTTGTAATTGTACAAAAACCACTGTTTTTCATTAAGGTTATATATTTATAGGTTCTTGTAAAAAGTATTATTAAAATTTAGGCATATATTTTAGGAAAATAATAAGTTCATAATATCAAGTGCAGTGAATACTACCAGAAATGCATTACCATTACTAAATATACGTTGAGAAACTTATTTTGTTTGTATGTACCTCTAATTTCTATAGTTAGGTGATCGTAATCTTACTCTTCGATCGACTAGAAACGGAGCTATATATTATAGTGGATATTCTGATAGAACAAACCGATATGGTGTGGCCATAATGGTAAGCAAGGAAATAGATAAATTCGTACTTGGTTTCACCCCGCTTTCGAATCGCATTATAATGCTACAAATTAACACCAATATAGGGAAAATGAATGTTATTCAAGTATATGCACCAACAGCTGACAAGGAGGAACAAGAAATAGAAGACTTCTACGAGCAATTAGAAACAATAATGAAAACAACAAAAAAACGTGAAGTTCTGATACTAATGGGTGACTTTAATGCCAAAGTGGGCAGAGAAAGTGTGGATAGTTGTGTTGGAATGTATGGATTGGGAGAGCGAAATGAGCGTGGTGAAAGACTAATTCAGATGTGCCAAATAGAAGAACTAGTAGTTATGAATACAATGTTTAAATTACCAAATCGCCGGCTCTACACGTGGAAAGCTCCTGGAGACAGCAAAGATAGAATCATAAGAAATCAGATAGATTACATCTTGATAAGGAACAGGTACAAAAACTCTATTACAGTAGTGAAGACTTACCCTGGAGCAGATGTAAACTCGGACCACAACCCAGTAGTAGCAAATATGAATGTAAGATTGAGAAAACCATTAATGAAAAGATCTAGACCACAAATATGCATTGATAAGTTAAGAGAACCAAATACATACCAAGAAACTCAAAACAAAATAAATCAGAGTATCCAAGAAATAAAACAACAAAATAAGAACACTAGAGATATTGACACAAAGTGGAAGAATATAAAGAACGCAATCGAGACTGTGGGACGGAAAACTTTAACATTTACAAAAGCTGCCAAACAAGAATGGATGACACAAGAAATTCTCGAAAAGATGGACGAAAGAAGAACACATAAAAACAAAGATAAAATTAAATATCAAGAAATTAATAAACAAATAAAACAGAAAATAATACAAGCTAAGGAAACATGGATGTCCATTAAATGTCAAGAAATCGAGGAATGTGAGGCAAGGTATGACACTTTCAACACCCATAAGAAGGTTAAAGAAATGATTTCAGGAAATCGTAACAAACCAATCGGGATATTAAAAAATGCAGATGGTACCACTATAACTGAAACGCAAGACAAACTACGTAGATGGAAAGAATACATTGAACAACTATTTTATGATCAAAAAGTAGAACAATTATTAGAAGTTAACGGAGAAACCACGGGACCAGAAATAATGAAAGAGGAAGTTATGTATGCTATAAAACACACAAAAGGCAGAAAAGCTCCAGGATCCGATGAAATACCAATTGAACTATTGAAGATAATTAATGAAGATAATATTGATGTCTTGGTAGACCTTTTTAACTCCATATACAAGACGGGACACATACCCAAAGAGTGGCTTCTCTCAACTTTTGTGACGATTCCAAAAATCACAAATGCTAAAGATTGCAATGACTATCGAACAATTGCGTTAATGAGCCACACATTGAAAACCTTCCTTAAAATCATACATAACAGAATCCACATGAAATTAGAACAAGAAATAAGTGATTCACAGATGGGTTTCAGAAAGGGTCTAGGAACTAGAGAAGCATTATTTGGAGTCCATGTTCTGACACAACGATGCCTGGATATGAATCAGGACATATATGCTTGCTTTATAGATTTTAAGAAAGCTTTTGATAGAGTTCAACATGAGAAGCTTTTAAGTATTCTTAAGACTAAAAACATTGATAGTAGAGATCTACAAATTATATCGAATCTGTATCAAAACCAGAAAGCAAGAGTAAGAGTCGAAGGAGAACTGACAGAGGAAGTAAGTATACTTAGAGGAGTTCGACAAGGGTGTATCCTTTCACCACTCTTATTCAACGTCTACAGTGAAGTGATTTTTCAAGAGGCTTTATTGGATATCGTGGAAGGTATTTATGTCAACGGAAATAGCATTAATAATATTAGATATGCCGACGATACTGTCATATTTGCAAGTGACATGGAAGATCTACAGTACATAATACAACATGTATACAATGCATGTGAAAGTTACGGACTGCAAATGAATCTCAAGAAAACGAAATCAATGATATTCTCAAAAAAAACACAAAATGTAAATAACCTGATCATCAATAATACAACGATAGAAAGAGTAAAAACATATAAATATTTAGGAACGTGGCTAACCGAAGATGGAGATCAAGTAAAGGAGATCAGATCTAGAATAGAAATGGCAAGAAACACGTTCATAAAATTGAAGAAATTACTTTGCAACCGTAACCTTAATCTAGAGATTCGCACAAGAATGCTACGTTGTTACGTCTTCTCTACTTTACTGTATGGCATGGAAGCGTGGACAATAAAGCAGTCTGAAATCAAAAAAATAAACTCCTTTGAGATGTGGTGCTACAGGAGAATGCATAAAATATCGTGGATTGAAAAAGTAACTAATATAGAGGTGTTACAAAGAATGAAGAAAGAATGTGAAGTCATAAAAACTATTAAAATTAGAAAGATTCAATATCTGGGACATTTAATGAGGGGTGAGAAGTACGTATTACTGAGGTTGATTATGCAAGGGAAGATACAAGGGAAGAGAAACCCAGGACGACGCAAAATGTCCTGGCTAAGAAATTTGAGAGAGTGGTTCGGCTGCAGCTCATTAGAATTATTCAGAAATGCGGCCAACAAAGTTAAAATAGCGATGATGATTTCCAACCTCCGCTAGGAGAAGGAACCCGAAGAAGAAGAATCTTACTCTTGTGTTATATAAGGCACACTTACCAGTAAAACTACAATCATAATCATAATTATAAATACCAATAAAAAGAATTAGAAATCAGGTGCAGAAAGATGAGTTAAAAAATAAATTACTAAAAATATATAAAAATAATATTAAAAAAGTTGGTCTACTGAGTGCTGAATACCATAAAAAGTTGAATTATATAAATTAAAATTTCGAGATGTGTGCAAAAAAGTTCGGGTCCTGAATAAACCATATTTTTACAAGCCTGCAAAAGACGAAGAAAAAAGGAAAGGGTCATATTATGCTAGATGACTATCTGATGATTTACAATGGTGTTGCGAAAGAAACCAGAGCCAAAGAAGGAGGCGACTTGTTAGTACACAAAAAATTTTTACACCAAGTACAAGAATGTAAATATACCTCTGAACGAATAGAAAGTGTGAAAATTAAACTGGATATCAAACCTCTGAATCTGATAGCAATCTAGGCACCAGAGAACAACGAGACCCTCAACATACGTCGGTAGCACCACATTTTAAATGCCTCTAATCGTTTTATGGCATTTTATGTAAGGCTCCAGCTTTCTACTACATAGAGTATAGAGGAATACACTAACGTAACATCTAAGAATTATTATGCGTTTATTGATATTTAAAGGTAAGTTAAGTATCCATAAACAGAAGAGAACAGGCTAGAAAATCTTTCGAAAAAATAAAAAAAATTCTTTGTGATTCTCGAATAAAACTCGAAATTCGACTACGTTTATCAAAATGCTACGTCTGGTCGACTCTTCTATATGCAGTTGAAACGTGGACCCTTAAAACATCAACCGTAAATAAATTGGAGGCCTTTGAAATGTGGATCTACCGGAGAATACTCAAAATTTCATGGACATCGCATACCTCAAACGAAGAAGTGCTGCATAGAATAGGCAAGGAAAGAGAACTTTTTAACACAGTAAAAGTAAGAAAAACATCATACCTAGGCCACATACTGAGAAATAATAAGTACCAATATGCCCAACTTATAGTGAAAGGAAAAATCGAGGGAAAGAGAGGCCTAGGAAGAAAAAGACTATCATGGCTCAGAAACATTCGACAATGGACAGGGCTAAATTTTGAACAGCTAATAAGAACAGCTGAAGATAGAGAAGAGTTTAAAATTGTAGTAGCCAACCTCCATTGAGGAGAGGGCACTTTAAGAAGAAGAAAGGTAAGTTGCAGGAAATTTTCCTAAGGCAGTTGAAAGAGCTCCTGGCTTTTTCAATACGAGTTTTTATTTCGTAGCTACTCTTTCTAATGGTGTACCCCCTATTGTAATTTGGGTGTTGGTGTTCTTACTAATGATCAATATTTTGGACATCTTGCAATTTAGTTTTAGGCCGTATTTGTTACATGTTTCTACAACGTTATCCATAATCCTTTGGAACCATTGCGCACCATCTGCCAGCCACACTGTTTTGTCTTACTTCGTGGCGTTACAACCCTTCGTGGGTTTTAGCCGACTCGACAACATGCCTCCACTGTTTTCTGTCTTGAGCAACCTCCATCCAATTCTCCACGCCCATAGTGCTTAAGTCTCCTGCTATATTATCTCGCCACCGTAGACGAGGGCGTCCGCATGGTCTCCTTCCAGTTAAGACTTCCTCCCACACCAGTCTTACTGTTCGTTCGTCAGAATGTCTTCTGAGGTGTCCTGCCCATTGGAGTCTTCTGGTCTTTATTTCTTTTATGATGTTGGCGTCTGGGTAAAGTTCTTCGAGCTCTTTGTTAGTTCTTATCCTATATTGTCCTGATGCTTCATCCATCACAGGACCAAATATCTTCCTTAGGATTTTTCTTTCCCAAACACATAGTTTCTCTTCGTTTGCCTTTGTTATCGTCCACGTTTCGCTTCCATACATTACAACGGGTCGTATGATTGTTTTATAGACCTCTATCTTCGTACGTCGTGTTAGTTGTTTCGATTTTAGAAGGTTCTGGAGGGCAAAAAGACATCTGTTGCCGTCCTGAATCCTGTTGTTTATTTCTTGTGATCCGTTATTGTC